TTGACAACGCATCAACACTCAAACCTTCGACAACGTCATTTGACCGCCATCACCTTCCCGTTCACCACCACGCACGCCACCATTACTATCCTCGCCACCATCGTTCGTCCTCTCGGCCACCACGTGCCTTGACCAATCACCACGGCCAACAACTCTCGACACCACCAATCCGTGACGCCGGTTTCCCGACCCCACAGTATGCGTTCAACGTGGCTCGCATCTGCTCAACGCCGCCACTTCGGTGGTGGCCGGGCCCGAGCCTGAGTTTGAAGGTCAGGAACATGCGCAGGACTCCAATCTTGGTGTCGACGCCAGCGAGATCTCGGAGCACCATCTCCAGGCCGCGCTCTCGTCCAACCAGCTTGCTACATCCGAGGCCAATGCCGAGGCGGCCAAGGCTGCCTACAGCATTCCTGTGCCAGATGCGCACGGCACGCTATCCAACGCCGAGTTTGCACAACTCTACCCCTCGGGCGTCTACTCGGATCCAGTCACGTACATCCGCTTCTCCGAGACGGTCGAGGACTGCATCAAGGGTCCCAGCTATGACATGGACGAAGATGACCAAGATTGGCTCGACACCCGCAACGCCAAGGCACAGGAGACCCTGACGGCAGCCATCCGCAGTGCCAAGACGGGTCCTCTTGCAAGCAGTGGCGCCAAGGGCAAGGGCAAGGAGAAGCTCCGTGAAGAGGCCATCGAGAAGCTCGTCGCCGAAAATCAGGGCAGCTACCGCTTGCTTTCCGAGGATCAGTTCGAGATGATCATGACGGTCTTCGAGCAGGTCACCAACGAGCAGGTCCCCTTCCTCCACCTTGATGTCACCAAGATTCCAACGTGCGAAGAGCTGGTGGCGTATTTCGAACCGTCATCCTCGATCTCAGCCCAGGCTCAGCCGGATCTGCCGGAGCTCAGTTGGGAGAAGACGGTCCCCAGTTCGAATTCAGGCTCGAGCTCGGGCTCATCATCTCAAGCTCGCCGCCCTTCCGTCGCTGCATCCCGCTCCAATGCGTCTCCGTCCTCGCCAACCGAATGGTCGCCCTCAAACCCCTTCAAGAATCTGGCCGATCTCAAGAATCTCGCGACGATCGTCTATCCGCACTGGAAGAGCCGTCGCGAGGACCGCGAAGGGCGATCGGTTGCTCCCATCCTCAACTTCGACGAGACCAACGACAACGACCCTTACGTCTGTTTCCGCCGACGTGAGGTGAAGCAGATCCGCAAGACGCGAAAGACGGACGCGCTTCACATCGAAAAGATGGTTCGTCTGCGCGCGGAGCTCGAGCATGCTGTGGCGTTGACCGAGCTGGTAGCTCAACGAGAGAAGACCAAACGCGCCTCGTTGCGGCAAAGCCGAGAATGCTGGGAGAACGTCAAGGATCTTATGGACATCAAGCGGCAGTGGGGCATCGTGGGTCCGCAGCAGGGGTTGGAAGACGAAGAGCTCATCTCCGGCGAGCGCAGAGATCCGACGCAGGCTGCTTCCGGGCCGGCGAAGAAGAAGCGCAAGGCCGACGAAGCGGCTGCGACGATCAAGCTTGCTGGCCGCAAGTCACGAACAGGCGAAGGCGACGGTGCCTCTGCGACTGCTTCCGCTGCAGGCGTGTCTGGTATGGGTTCCGCCATTCTCGAGCGCGTGCACGCAGTCCAAGCGTATATCGAGCGCGAATGCCTGCGCAAGGCCGACTCCGATCTCGGCTGGGAGGAAGGCAGCGATGCAGCCTTCCAGCCTATCCCGGCGCCAGCACCTCTGCGCGCATTCAGGCCCATCCACACCGAGTCCTCCGACGACCCGCTGCCCTTCTCGCCCCTCTCGACCCGCGCTGGTCGTCCGCCCTCGTTCCGCAGACGCCTTGGTCGTGGCGGACGTGTCTTCCTCGACCGACGCCTTCCCGTTCCCAGCCCCGTTCCCACAAATCTTGCCGATTGGCCGCGCTACGGCCGCACGAGGTCCGAACTGCCGGGCACCGAGTCACGGTCTTCAACCACGGCGCGGTCTGCTGACACATTGTCGATGCCAGAGGCGTCCCCCGCTCAATCGACATCGCCTAGCAAGACATTGATGGGTCCCTTTGCATTCTCGCCGGACGTACATCCCCAATTGCTTGCCTCGGCGTCCCACCCATCGGTTCAATCCGTGCTCAACCAAAGCACCGACGCTTTTGGCGGCCCCTTTGCTCGCAGCGGTCCGTTTGCCGGCCCTGCGAGCACCTCCGACTCGCACGACGAGACACCGGGCTCGCAACACTCGGACGCATCCAGCACGTCTTCCGTTTCGAGCGACCGATCGCGGCTCAGTGGCACCTCTGTTGGTGTTGTTAGCACACAGGCCACCGAGGTCGGCGACATCGACATGCTCGGCCTTGACGAGGAGCACGAGAAGGAGTCCGAAGAGCGCGCTGGTGCCTCTGGCGACAGCGACAGCTCGGAAGACGAGCTCTCGGATCCCGAACGCGAGCTGCAACGATGGGTCAAGATGGAGGAGCGGTGGAGGTACGACGACGAGGCTGGCCGTTTCGCCGGTCTTGGTCTCACTGCGCTTGGAGGCATGGAGGAGGACGACGAAGCTGTGCTCGACGACTTTGACCAGAAGTTCATGCGGTACAGGATGACGCTTCTGGAGGAAGCCGACCTGCTCAAACTGTCGACCGATCTCACGAATCTGCAGCAAGCGCAAGCTGCTGCTGAAGCTCCGGCCCCGAAGCCCGCAGGCTATGTGGAGCAACCAGCATCGTCAACGTCATCTGCTGCCGTAGCAAAAGCGGCCGCCGCGTCCAAGACGAATGGCGCGCCGGCTGCCGCCCCGACCGCCACTTTGCCTGGCCTGCCAACCACTGCGACTCTGCCGATGCCCTCGGCGGCGCGTACCGCGGCGGCGACCGGTGGAGGTGGTTCGCAGAGCGCGCTTCAAGCACAGCAGTTGCAAGCACAGCAGGCACAATTGCAGATGGCCATCCTGCAACAGCAGCAACAGCAACAACAACAGGCAGCCGCAGCCGCCGCACAGGCACAGGCACAGGCGCAGGCAGCAGCGGCGGCAGCACAAGCGCAGGCTCAGCAAGCGGCACTTGTGCAACAACAGCAAAAGCAGCAGCAGCAACTGCAGCAGCAGCAACAGCAGATGCAGGCGCAAGCCCAGGCCCAGCCTCAGACTCAACAGCAACAGCCGCAGCAACAGGCGCAGACCATGGGCGCTCAGCAAGGTGTTGCGCAGCAGCAGGCACTGCCGCAACCGTTCGGCGGCCAGATCATGTCGCTGTCGCACAACAACTCGCAACAGGCCCAGCTCGCTGCGTTCGCTGCAGCACAGCAACAGTTGCAAGCGGCCCAACAGGCCGCACAACAGCAGCAGCAACAGCAGCAGCAACAGCAGCAGCAGCAACAACGCCGGCTCAGCGGTGTGACGGCTCAGCAGCAGCAACCGCAGCAGCAGCAGATCGGGCTGCCGGTGCAGATGCAGATGCAGATGCCGATCCAGCTGCAGATGCAGTTGCAGATGCAAATGGCCGCTGCTGCTGCGCAGGGTCAGACGCACTTGCTCGGCCAGTCGATGCCTTTCGATGCCACGTCCATCCAAGCTCAGATGCAGCAGGCGCAACAGCAGTTGGCGAGGTCGATGCCGGCCCAGAGCATGGCTCACTCGTCGCCGATGCAGTCGAACGCCTTTACGGTGCCAAACCCGCAGCCGTTTGGGATGAACCTGAGCCTCAACATGAATGGCAACGCTGGCAGTCCGCCGATGCAACACGCAAGGG